AACAACTAACCAAAGTTTTACTTTAGAATGGTTTTGAGTGGAACATTTTCTGCCACAGAAAGGCTTGGATTGGTTCACCAGATCCCTGAATCTGTGGAATAAGTAGACAGCCTGTTTTTTGGGGTTTTTGGGGGTTTTTTGGTTTTTTTTTGTTTGTTTGGTTGGTTGTTTTGGTTTTGGGTTTTTTTGTTTGGTTGGTTGGTTGTTTTGGTTTTGGGTTTTTTTGTTTGCTTGTTTTTGTGGTTTGTTTTGTTTTGGGTTTTTTGGGTTTTTTTGCAAAAGGATAATTTAAAACAATAATAAGAAGCCCTTGAGAAGTAATTCCTCAGTCCTTCAGAATAAATTGCTTATGGTCTTAAATAACTTCTCTGGTTTTGTTCTCATGTTAGGCTAGTCATGATTACCTCATAATGAAATTATTTCCTCACAAAGGGAAGAGACACAGAAATCTGTACTTACTGGAGAGGGAAGGGAGCATTTAAAAAAAAAAAAAAAAAAAGGAAAAACAGGTAGCTATTTCCCAACTGTGGATTTGGAATCATTAATCTGATTTTTTTCTCCAAATTGCTTCCTTGGAATATTCTGTGGAGGCTTGTTTAGAGAGCGAGGAGTATAGTTTCTGGAAAGAAAAACACAGATTGTGAGAAATGAAAGGAAGCATGGAAGATTCTTCTGTTAAAAAAAAGGTTATTTACAAGAGATAGGAACAGAAAACTGCTAGTGTATAACAACAGCAGTACTTGTAAAAATTAACTCTAACTGATAAAGCAGACCCTCTGAATTCTCTCAAAATTAATTTCTTAGGCTTTATCATAATTCCATCATTTTTGTTGGTTGCATACTTAAGTTTCTTTTTTTGTTGTTTTCGTTTTTTTTTAATTAGACAGTATTATTTTGGCTGCTTCTTTGCATGCCTGTGTTTTATTTCTGGATGCAACCTGGTCATCCTTTGTTATGTGATTGGGAAACGAAAAACAGTCAAATTCAGTATAAGATTTGGAGAACTACTTCATAGTCTTTGTAACATTTTTTCTTAAGATCCAGTGAGTGATATATTTAATGGAAGAGTAAAGGCTGGCTTCCTAAAAGAGCAGTGTGCTGAGAAACCTTGTGCATAATGTATCCTGAGACCATTCCAGGTTCAACGGTGCACTCCTTGTGTGGAGAGTATTCCCTTGGTATGGAATGGCAATATATTAGTTTGCTATTACTGCACAAATGTGCCACGGAAATAACAGTTCAGGCTGTCTGGTTTTATTGTATCAGTCATTCTTGTTGATGGTTTTGTCTGCGTGCTGTTTTAGTGTAGTTTTCCTAAGTTGCATTACTTTTTCAGAAAGACTTTATAAGTTGATGGTGTAGCAGATAAATGTTTGAATTTTAAATTGTTGTGAAACTGAGCACTGAACAGTACATTTAGGAACATACTAGACTCTGGTTTGGTGCAATTTATTTATTCAGAACACATTTAATGTTTAGAAGATTGTAGAGAAGTAACTTGGCTCTTAGAAGTAGAGTATCAGTGGTGTTAGCTTATTTTCTCTTTGACAGTAATTATTTTGGCAGACAGATAAATTGACAGCACTCTAACAGGTTTTGTTGTGTAATACTAGATGGGTTTGTCACACGGGTTGTGATTTACTCTTGCAACAATTTTATTTCTCTTGTCTATGGTTCCATTATTGTTGCTATGTAGTAAGATCAAAGCATCTAGTCTTATGTATGTGATTTAAATCAGGCATGGGCACATGATCAAATTATTATGGATACAGCCAGACCTAGTTTATGATGCAATACTGCCAGTGAGATGGGTGGATGTGCTATAAAGCTTCGCATAGTGCTTATGTAGGAAGCTAAGGCCTATGGAAGTATTGTTTCCATGTGTTTTATCAGACTAAGGATTTGTTGAATTTCCAAAGAATTGAATACTAGAACTGTTGTTAACTTCAGTGTGGCAAAGAAACATACCCTTCTCTTGTTTGAAACTTTCTGTGACACAGATTGTGTCATTCTGTGTTTGCACATCTCCTGTAATTCTGGATTTTCACTGCCATAACATACAACAATCTACAGTACTCAAAATTCAGAATAAAAACATGTTAAACTCCTTTATGGTGTTCATATTATCTCGTGCTTTTCTATGCAGGTAATTACATTTTAATCATTAAATGAAGTGCAACACTTCATACTGGCTAGAATGTCTGCCATGCATTTTTAATGGTTTCTCTAAGTGTCATTAAGTGATAATTTGAAAAAATAAACAAACAACCAGCAGTTTACACAACTGGTTATTAATGAAGCCTGTTCTTAATTTGCTTAAAGGATCAACAAAAATTGTGGTATAAAATGTAGCAACAGACTGAGTGGGTTTTTTTACATAAAACATTTGAATGCTTTATAGATTTTTTAAATGTCCATTCTAAATGCATGCATTCATATCAAGAGTAAAATAGCACATCTTTTTTGATATTAAAAAGTTGATGCAGGGTTGAGTACCAATACGGATTAGTAGCTTTTCTGTCCTGCACTGAAACATTTTGACTTGTGTGCCTTCTGCTCTGTGTGTGCTATAACGTCTGGTTTTCAATGACAAAGCACAAAAAAGATTTGTAACCTGATTTCCTCTTCTTGGTTTTCCTGAATCTTTGCTAGCCTGTGGCAAACCTGTGGGTGTTTTACCTCCTATCTTCTCATTCCAGAGCTGGGCATGGCAAGGCAGATTTGTAGTTGCAGTGCCCAATCATTTCCCAAATATCAATGCTAGATTGAGGGCAAATATGCCTGAGGTTTCATCCAAATGATCATAAGAGGGAAGTTTAATTTTTAATGAGGACTTAATTACTCTGAAGGTTGGAGAAATTTAGAGGTATTTCACTGGTATTTCTGCTTCAAATAATTTATGCAATATTTACAGCTTGGCCGAACTAGAATATTGTCATGGAAGATGATATTTGAATTCATGGCATGGAAATGGCATAAAAATAGCAAATAATGGGTATTTTTTGGTTTGTCAGGTGAGCAGAAAAGATAGTTTGGTAGGAAAAGCATGCAGTTAGTGTCTTCATCCACAGTGTTCAAGTTTTTTAACCAAAGAGTTTCCTCTGAAGTAAAATGCTGTGCTCAGTTTTAGTTTTTTTGTGAGTGCTAGTTGATGTAAATATAAGTAATTTGTTCAAAAATTTTAATTTGTTCATATTGAGTATCATGACCTATATTATTGAATCTAAAAGGAATGAGAGCGGGTTCAAAAATTAACAGTGAATTCTGAAGAATTACTCAATTTTTTTCTTGCATGAACTGCTTGCTTCTTCAGGTCCTTGTTTAGGAATATATTTTTTTAAAGGGCTTGGCATGTATTTAAGTTCCATACTTTGTGTGAATGATCTGGTTTTACAGAAGCAGTTTACAGTGCATAATGTGTGTACATAAATATTTTTCACATTGATTCATTTATGTCCTTCAGTTTTTTGTGGTCTAGTCATTAAATACCTGGGACAAAACTACAAATACCAGCTTTCTGCATCTGTTTTATCATCTCCATTGTAGGTATTCATGCTGCTTTAATATGCCTGTGCAGCAAGCACCCATAGCAAATAAATTTGCTCTTGCGTATTTTTTGCTTTTGTTAAATATTCATTAGATGAGATGCAGGCTGCTGCTTTGAATGCATTGAAATCCCAGAAAATACATTGTTTGTGAATCCTTTATCCACCATGAACCAAAGTGTTCCTCCTCTACCGAAATGGGTCAGGGTCCAGGATGTGTTACTATCAGTTGCTATACAGCTGAATCTTGTTTTGCACTGTAAAGAGAGCATAATTGATAGTCATTTTGATTTTTTACATTGTATTCTACTATGATTTGGCGGCTGTCACAAAAAAAAAAAAAAAAAAAAAACAAAAAACCCCCCCCCCCCAAAAAAAAAACCCACAAAAAACTCCAAAAACCCACTTAGAATTCTGCATCAAATCTGAGGGAAAGAACTTCAAGTAAACACAAACTAAAAACTTCTAATGTTCTTTTATTACAAAGCAAAGTTAAAGCAAAATGCAGTCATTGTCTGATGCCTTATCTGAAGTATTTTGCAGTAGTCTCTGAACTTACTCTATTATCTAAAGAGAAGCATTTTGAAAATCAGGATCAAAGTTAGTGTACAGGCTACAACAGAAGACAAATACATTCAGGGACTTCTCAAAAAAACAGTGTTCTCACACCTGTTTTTTGCATGTTCTGTCATTCCCCTTATCTATATATTTATGCATGTTTTGGGTTTGTTCTGATGGTATCACACTGATGTGTGCAGCTGTCCAGGAGACTGACTTTATTCTCAAGACGGATAAAATTTGACATCCTCAGGTTTTCACACTTCATCCTTACACTGCATCAAACCTGCAGGTTTTCATTAGGATTTTACTAATTTATTATTAGCTAAACAGAGAATTTTTGTCTTTTTATAGCTCTACATTCCATACACCTCTAGTGTAATGTCAGTGTACATGTTTGCTTAGACGATTTTAGGAGAAATACAATCTCCATATCTGTAATACTTGCATTTCTGAGATAGAAAGCTCAGCTATTTGTGTTTCAAATACTAGCTTTGTTTGCATTGCACATACTAGCTAGTAAAAGAACATCCCAGAAAAAAAAAACAAAAAACCAAACCTGTCCATTTACTGATTCATGTTAACTTGCTTTCTGGCATTGTGCTATATAAAGCTTTAAGGTAGATTCCTAAATGAATGTTCTGTAGCTTTAGTTTATTCAAGAACTTAGGCAGAGCTACTGGAAGTATCTAGATTATTGATTCTTTTTGGGGTTTGTCTCGGTTTGAAATACTGCTATCTCCTTCCTTCATGGCTTTTAAGTGTTTTAAATGAATTATTTTTTTATATAGTGCTTACACTAATACTATTAAATTGGCTATGAAAATAACTCATGCAAGTTGCCTTTAATTAAATGCCAGCTATTTATTTGTTTGTTTCTCTCTTTTTGTTTGGCAG